TGTGTGTTGGTGGATGTGTGAGTGAATGTTACAAATTGATGAGAGTGGGAGGATGTGGTGTCGATTGGTAGTGATAAGGGGAAGACGAAGGGTTTGAAATGAAGAAAAAAAAACGGTATAAAAAATTTTTTTTTTTTTATGTAGGAAGGGCTTGTGATCGCAAGGGCCAAAAGCTTGCGATCATAAGAGGGAAAGGGTCAGGACCAAAGCTGGTCCTGACCGGTTCTGGGCGATCGCATGGTAATTCTACTATGCGATATCAAGAGAAACAACTTTTTTTTTTGGTCACGAAATTGTGAAGGGAGGATAGCCACGACACATAAAAAAAAGTAAAATGAAATAAAATAAATAAATGGAAACCCGAAAACTCAAAATTGTGATATTTGCACGAACCTCGAATGCCAAACCTAAATGCCACTCAATGTTTCGATGTCATCATGACTGAGCACTATTCATTCCCAAAGTGCCGTGTGTGCGTGTAAGCCATGAATTTCATGTCAAGAGCTCGGTAAACACAAGTGGAGTTCCGAAAACACAAGATTGCTCTTGCGCCCCCGAAACTCGTGCATCATGAACAAAAGTAATAAATGACCCCGTACACACCCCTCAAATTGCTTCTCAAAATGTCATAAATAACGTGAAGCACTGCTTGCATGTTTGAAGATTGATAGATACGGTGGACCACCTAACATGCCAAAAATGAGAAAAAAATCATGGAAAAACACAATTTTCACTCAAGACTTCTTTTCATCCCTCAATGTCAAAACAAAGATCCAATTGGCATGCAACCTACACAAACCAACTTCTGACCATAAAATACTTTTGGACGCACGATGTGGTGTGAAAAAAAAATGCTGAACTTCAAAAACCCTAGTTAACCTAAAAATCACAGTTTTGAGAAAACGGCATTGTAAATAGCTCAAATACCCCCAAATTGCATCAAAACATATTGTTGGGCGGAAAATGCATGAAAATGAGTATGTGGCCTAGAGAAACGCGCCATTTTTTTTTCCAAAAACACCCAAAAATGATTCCATCATCACGTAAGACATGTATAGTGCAGTAAAAACTAAGAGAGATTACTCATGAG